TTTTAGTGATAGCGCAATCGAAGGCCATCGTGGTGTCGAGTGGATGTTTGGGTCGAAGTGGCTATGGTATGGAAGCGTGCGAAGCGCTCCCGCGCGCGCTTCGAACAGTAGGCTACTTCCCCCACTGTTGTCATAGGCAAATATCGGGACAATGACCTCTTTGTATGTACGATACAGCTGAAGTGTACTCTTCTGCTTCATCGAGATTTCCCATTGCGCATTCTCCATTTCGCGTATCCGTTTCCGGACTGCTGCGGAGAACTTGTGCTCCGTGGTCTTGATTGTTGAGAGGTCCAACATGTCGTACTTGCTTCGCAGAGAGTAGACTCTGTTCGACCACTGTGTCCTGAGTCCCACGAAGTGCAGGTAGCGGAACATGCGACGGGCCCACCGCTGATCATTCATGAAGCGTAGGCGCCCTTTATAAACGATCTTGCTCGTGGCTTCCCGCGCCTCGTACGTTGACCAACCCATGTCCCCCTGGATGGCCTCCACTGCAACCCTTCCATGGCAGCCCAATGCCAACCGGCCCACCTCCCTTTGGCCTTGCTCCAGCCACTCACGGGTCTTGCTGAACAGGCATATGATGGCGTTTGCAAAGGTAAGACCTGATACATTGATCAATTTCCACAGACCTCGCACTAACACATATCTGTTGCAGCCCCAGAGGCTTCTCTGGTGCAGAATGCAGCTCGCACGCTGGGAGGCCATCCGCAGTCGATCCTCGTGCCCCAAGAGTGGGTCTTTTCCCGTGATATGGTCACCCCCAGATAACGATATTCTGTTGAGAAAGGCAACTTGTCTCAATTAGGAAGTTCTAACGGGAGGTTTGTGTCCACTTCTCCAGAAAATTGGATAACAGCCAACTTTTGAAAGTTAAGCCGGAGGCCTAGGTCTGCCAAATGGAGAACTGATATTGTCCCCAGCTGTTGTAGCTGATGTCGGTCTTCTGCAATAAGAACAATATCATCTGCAAAAACCAGCCCTGGCAGTGTCCATACTTCGGGCTGCCCTTCCGACAGGAATTTCATTTGGAAACCGATATTTGACTGGATGAGCGCACTTTCTAAACCTGATGCATATAGCATGTAGAGCAGTGGCGAGAGTGGGCACCCCTGCTTGAGTCCTTTGCGGACCGTTACTGGCTCAGATGCCGTATCTGCCAAGCGTGCCACCACCGTGCAATCGGCATAAAGGCGACGCAGAAGGTCTATCCATTTTTGTGGCATGTCCAGCTAGGTCATGTGCTGCAGCAATAGGTCACGTGGAACACTGTCGTATGCCTTCGAAACATCTCGGAAGCATGCGAGTAGATGGCGGGATTGTTTACGCGCAACCTCAATGCATTGGGTAACCACGAAAAGGTTGTCCTCCAGGCGTCTGTTTGGGCGGAAGCCATTTCGGAGTTCTATGAGGTGTCCACTACTTTCAGCCCATCTACTCATCCGTGCTTTAACTAGTTGGGCAAATAGCCTGTATAGCACACTGGTCACAGTTATGGGTCTGTAGCTGCTGAGGAAGCTGCTGTCAGCGCTTTTCTTGGGGACTGGACATACGCGGCTTCGCGACCAGTCTTCGGGGATGGGGTTTCCTTCTATAATACCCGTGAAGATAGCAGCAAGATGTTCCTTCCCCATCTTTCCCAGGTGCTTTACCAGACCTGCGGGTATATCATCCAGCCCATGTGCCGTCTGTGATGCTATTAGCTCTAGGGCACGTTCTAGCTCTACTCGCGCGACTTTCCATTCACGGTCTGTCTCCTGTGCATCCCCTGGGGCTGGTGGTATATGTACTTCGGTCTCTGCTGCTGTCACCGGAGCCGGGGCTGCAAAAACGCTCTGCATGTACTCAGTTATACGCTTTTTGACATCGGAGAACTGTTCTTCAGTCACCTCGTCTCGGAGAGTTGGTCGTGAGAGGTTTTTTCTGTCCAATGTTGATACATATCTTCAAAAGTTCTGCATTATACTACGACCTCGTGTTGTGAGCTCCTTGATTTTCTTGTGGTCGCTTTCCGCAATCTTGCGTTGCACTAGTTGTTGCATGTGCCACTTCAGCTCCAGGTGCTTGTGCCACGCCTGTTCGCAATCTTCAGCTGGGAGGTTCCGAATGGCGCTCCGATGCTCTCGATTTGCTTCCCGTTGGGCTTTCAATGCCTCTTTCACCTTGGTGTCCCACCAGGGTTTACGCTGAACAGCAAGAGTCTACACGAATCTCATGTCTGCCCATTATGTCTTTCAGTTCTTTGATGAACGCTTCATACGTGACTGGACCATCTGGATTATTGTGTATATCGCTCGCTTCAAATGCCTCAGCTATTGTGTCGTAGGCTTCTACTGGTAAAAACCACCTTGCTGGGCCGCGGTGTCGGGGCTGGGTTCTATGGTAAGGCAAGGCTGCAAAATTCAGCCTTATTCTGTTGTGGTCGCTCCCCACTCTGTATTGGCCTGCCTCATCAACATGTACTCGGGAGATGTGCATTGCCAGTCTGCGTGACACAAGGGCATTGTCGATACATGACTGACTGTTGCGCGCACACCACGGGACCATACCCTAGCAGTCGGGTCGAAGATCGGTCACTTCCCATGCCAATTCTTCTGCCAGTTGTACTAGAAGGGATCTGTACTAGAAGGAATATGTACTGGAAGGGATATTGATGGAGATGCCAGCGCCGCTGCCTGGGTGAAGAGAGAAACACACACAAGCGACGTTTGTGGAGCCACCCCACCGCATACTCTACGCCGGAGAGTAAGCCCACTGCCTTCTTCGAGTACACTGTACCAATTAGCCCAAGCTGCCACACTATACTACAGCTACAGTGAACTAGATAGTTCACTATACTACAGCTACATTGCTAGCCATGGTAGAGTGTACTAGAAGTGTTGAGTGGCGTGACCACGCCTCGCCGCCTGATCCTTTCCGCGTCGCCCATAGCGAAGGCGCTGCAGTCGAGTAGTACTGAAACTACTATTTGCTATTTGCTTGAACTACTATTTGCTTCGGCTCCTCCATCGCGCTTTCTTGATGCAGATTTCTTCGTACCTGCCCATCATTCATGTCTAGCACATGATGCCAGAGCCCTTGAAGTATAACACGCCAATCTACTGTATTTGAGCTCCGTAAAAGCCCCTGTGAGAGATCGAAAATAATTCAGAAAGGGCGCGTCTTATACCTATTTCTTCTGTCTTAACTCTTTCTTCGTCGGTTAGGCGTCTAGATAGATATGTGGGGTTTAACGTCCCAAAACCACCATATGACTATGAGAGACGCCGTAGTGGAGGGCTCCGGAAATTTCGACCACCTGGGGTTCTTTAACGTGCACCCAAATCTGAGCACACGGGCCTACAACATTTCCGCCTCCATCGGAAATGCAGCCGCCGCAGCCGGGCGTCTACAATGTACAGAATAACTGAGCCGATTTATTAAAAGTTAGCTGCACTCAGAAGGCTGTGAGATTGAAAAAACAAATACCGTTTCAAACGCACTCAAAACCAGGTGGCCGATAGTAAAAAGGGGAAAGGAAGGGAGCCTGAACCCCCTGCACCTGAAAATGTTTTCGTAATTTAACTTTTCGGGGTATACTAAAATATTTACACACATTCACAGTTACCACCCATTGCCAAAGTTAGTCGTACTGCTGCACCCCCTCCCATAAAAAAAAAAAGAAATCTGTGTGCTAGCCTTGCGTCGAAGGTTTACAGTTGGCGAAGCTGAATTTAGCATGTCTCTGTACAAATGCGCACTGTGAATTTTACCTTTTCGACAGTATGACGTCCTAAAGCTAGTTCAAGTCTAACGTAGTCGGACGAGAAATGCACCACCAAAAATAGTAGCTGTGCTAAGGGACATTGTATAGATATTATTAATGGGGTGGTGAAATGTGTCTTAAAAACGTGCTGCACTGGTGGCGATATATATATATATATATATATATATATATATATATATATATATATATATATATATATATATATATATATATATATATATATATATAATGAGTGTGCGTGTGTGTGCATATAAAATGAAGGTAAATTTCTCAGAACAAGATGCACCACTGCCTGCCTACACTTTTGACACTTAATAATAGAACTACGCATATAATACAAAACATCGTCATAAGTTTTCTCGCTTGCATTGGTGTTACGCCAATATAATATTTCGAAAGCAGCACAATTTAAGCTGTTGACACAAAATGAGGACTGGTTACAATAAATTTACGCACATTAATAAACGGGCTACATATACAATATGCACTTTTTAATATGTTTGTGTGTTGTTTTTAACATGTTCAATATACAATAAGCGTTTCATAAACCAATAGTTGTTATCTTCCACGAAATTGGCATGATAAAACTGAGTCGTCACCGATATAAATGTTGTAACAGCGTTACTTATACACGGGTTTCTCGTGAAACAATCGAGCGCATGTAGGCTCATATGAGGAACATTGTTCTCTGCACATTGTAGGGACTGCCGACGAAACGAGCGTATGATTTATTCGCAGTTTTGATACTTCTCTTCTCTTTGTAGTTCGCCAGTAGCCACTTATGATGCAACGCAGCTCAAAGCGCTGCTTGAGTGAGGAGCTAGGCGGATCTATGCACATTCCGATTGACATTTCTTTTTTTTTTTTTTTTTTTGTGGGCCGGCAGGCTTTTGAGACAGTGAATGTATCGACGCAATTTCGGCGTGCCTGTATATTCACTCGTGGACCATGGTGCATAGCAGGTGAGTCCACTAATAAAGGCTCGGAAATGCATTAAATTCACTAATAACGAGCAATTAGACGCTTTCGCAGGCTACGGCGCGCGCTCTCCCAATGCAGACGCTCCTGAGATCTTCAGTACCATGGGACAACAGCGCCGTCGCTACTGTCACTCACCAGAGAATCAGCCGAGATGCGGCGCGGCTTCCTCGTTCACTCCATTGCGCCCTTACAGTCCACTGTAGCCGTGGCTCGGGCTTTTTTTTTTTTTTTTTTTTTTTCACGAGCAAGACAAAAAGCAATCCATTATGGCGGCTTCCAGTTCCATGTGCGGCTGTCGTGCATACCAGAGTTGGGTCAATGTTGAAGGTAGTGGGCGCATGTAACCTCGGTCTGGCTGGTTGCCTGCTGCTGCGTTATTTTTGCATAGCAAAAACAACCCAAGACAGATTGTGCGGGTCGGTGAGGAGTACCGTTACAACAATGATGCGCAACACTGCCAACTTTTGTCGACTGCCATCCTTGCTCTGCCGGAGTGTCCCAGCTGTTTCACTGCGGACTCAGGTGTCGTCAGAGCTGGCTCACAAGTTCGTTCATCCTGGTAATGGCCTAAAAGTGTTATCAGTTACCAAAGGCGGTAATGCGACATTGCTTTCAGACCTAATCGGCTGCACACTTTTTAGTTGGTAGCACCAAAACAGCTCCCGCTAATGTTGGCGCGCCAGAGACGTTTAGGAAGTAGTGATATGATTGCCAATGTTCGTAAATTAAATTACAACGCGCATATATTCACTTGTACGCGTGTCGCCTCTATTCTGGTGCTTGATTTCTCTCTTTCTCTCTCTCTATGCTGCTGCCCTAACTGCGACACATTTCACATAGGCACTGCGCCGTGCTCCCGACCGGATTGCAGAAATTAGGTGCCTTTTCTTATCTTCTAACCACTACCACCACATTTCACAAGCGAAGGTCGCCCATTGATTCTGTTCCGCCTTTCCGGCCTTGCGCTTGCCTCATTCGCACCACATTCAACGTGAACCTTCCAGCCTAGAACAAAGGCATTTTGCTGTCGTTTCATCGTCAGCTGGTAGTCTGACTCAAGTATCGTAGTGTCCGAGCCGCTTAAGTGTCTAAACATATTTTGGAGTCCATTGTAAATAAATGTAACGAGTGGAAATATATTCGTCTTAGAAACACATCATTCAGACAAGAATAAGTAAAAGTGTTTTATTTTATTGTTCCAAGCTTGTTTATCTCAAAACAAGTGTCATTACTAGTGATTACCAGTTACCTCTGTCTTATGCCTGCAGATTTCCAAACGTAAGACCGTGAGATTCTCTGCTGTGCATTTATTTTCACGGTATCTGTTGTTCTGCAACCCCTACTTATTCCTTTGCATATATCAGGCCCAACTCAAATTCCTGATGTCTTCTACACTGTTGGTTATTCCTGTTACAATTCACACCAGTTTTGTTTTTTCATATCATGCTGTTTTCAATAACATCTCAAGCTATGTTGAATCCGCACTGTCTTGGGCCAGTGGGAAATGCAATTTTAATTGCGAAGCTTTTTTAGCTAATGAAAAGCATCTTGACCTGCAGCGATAAAAATGATAAGCTAGGTTGCCTTGCTTATGTTTTTCTACACTGTAGTTGGGCTCAGGTAATTTACAATTGAGGCACCTGCCCGTCTGGCCTACGTACAGTTTTCTGCATAACTGTGCATAATATACACCGTTCACTGTGTTGTATTTCTATTTTCTTGTCACTCCTTTCTATTGAACGTCACGTGCGAAGTTCAGACGCTTTTCTGGGAAAGCATCAGAACTCCTCGTCTGGGGAAACTAGGGGTCAGACACCGTGAAACGGCACCCTACCACCGCCGATATTGCCTCGGCAGGGCGACCTTTGACGGTAGTGTTGACGGAAGAAAAGCAGTACATCGCTCTGTGTTGTGTGTTTGTGGGAGTGGTGCACGGTCATGTTGACGGGAACCAATGAACTGTGTGCCTGCATGAAAAGAGATGCTCATAAGATCTTGTAGAGAGCAGAGGGCTGTCCTAATGCTGAGGTGCTCCGTGTTCTTTCTTTCTTTCTTACATCTATGAATGTAAGTTTGTTCAGTTCTAAAAAAAATTGGAGTTTTGTATTTCTTCAATCGTTCACATGGTGTCGAAAATAGAGGGACAGAAACATCGAAGCTGACAGAGGAATTGAATTTCTCAACCACTTGGACTCAGTGACTTGGTCACCCACCGATGCATCAATAATTCTACACTTGAAAAAGCTCCTGGCAAAGAGGCATGTATCGCGTGGCCACAACTCTCGCATCATCAATAAGGCTGAGCCTGCACTTCACGACGAGACACAAAGCCATCTGTCCACATTGATTCCATGACTAGAAACCAGCAACGAGTAGCTGCGCAAGATTAAGACAAGCTGGAGTCGCTGATCCCTGAGGAGTAGTTTGAAGCCAAGTACAACAAGGCCGTCAGGTGTGACAACGCGGTCATAGCCATGAATGGTTGTCTTCAAGCGTGGCTCAGCACCCTCAATATAAACAACAAAGCACCTCAAGCTGCGCCACCGAGTCACAATCATCAACAATAACCTGCACGTTATGCATGGTGGTGTCCAGGACTCAATGACACAAATTTGAGATAGTTTTTGGATTCCGTGATCATGTGAAGTTGTAAAGCAAAACATTCAAACTTGCAATGGCTGCATAAGGAAGAGATTACTAACAGCCAAGGCACCGACTGCACCGCTTCCTGCGCACAGAACTGCGCTAGACAGTTGTTTTGACGCTATGGGCATTAATTTTGTCGGCCCTTCATTCACAAAGGGGAAACGCAATGAAGAAAAGGCATACATAGTATTGCTCACCTGCATGGTTACTCGTGCTATTCTCCGATCTCTCCGCAAATAAATTCCTGCTTGCCTTTCGGCGTTTTACGTTGCGTCGTGGTTTGCCGTCAGTCATCTACGCTGATAACGCTCTAACATTTAAGAAGACATCTGAAGACCTTGGTTACTTATTCAATAAAATGAAGAAGGGAGACTTCACCAGCTACTGTGCAGATCACCAGATACAATGGAAGGGCATTGTGGAGCGAGCAGCTTGGTGGGGGCGCTTTTAGGAGCGTGCAGTTAAGAGTGTCAAAGTGTGCCTATGGCGCATATTGGGAAATGCACATTTGAGCTTTGAAGAGTTGATGACCATGCTTAACGAGCTAGAAGCTGTTATTAGTTCATGCCTTCTGACGTTCCTGCACGTATCGGCAGATGAAGGAACGTCCTTGACACCAACTCACTTTCTAACTGGCAAAAGATTGCTCGCGCTTTTTACGGTCAACCGAGTGCTCCGTCAAGTACTTCAGCCAAGGAAATAATAAGATGGAAGCATTGCCAAAGAACAGTTGACCATTTCTAGCGTTGGTGGAGGTATGAATATTTACTTCAACTAAGACCGGCGCACCTTTCTGCAGGCAAAGAAAACATCGTACTCAACAAAGGAGACCTGATCTTGATTAGTGATGAGAAGCTTCCTCGGCTTGTTTGAAAAAAGGCCGTTATTTACGACGTGCTGTTCATTCAGGATGGGCTAGTGCGAGCCTGCACTGTAGGTCTGCCAGACGGTAAACTATTTACCCGGCCTGTAAAATTGTATCCAGTCGAACTCAGCAACTAAAGAAAAAAAAATGAGCTTGCTCATTTTTTTGGGGGGGTGTGGGGTGTGATGTAGTTTTATTTTCTTCTCATTTATACTTGTTAAACATCACGTGCACAGTCCAGACACTTTGCTAGGAAAGAATCAGAACTCCTTGTCTGCTTGCACTCGGGGTCTGAAAACGTGAGACTGCACCCAACCGCCGATATTGCCTCGGCGGGGCGAGCTTTGACGGCAGCGTTGACAGAAGAAAAGCAGTGAATCACTCTGTGTGTGGTGTGCTTGTGAGAGTGGTGTGCAGTTACGTTGACAGGAGAGGACTGGCTGCGTGCCTGTGTGAAAAGACATGCTGAGAAAATCTTGTAGAGAGCGGAGGTGTGTCCTAACCCTGAGATGTTTTGTGTTCTTTCTTTCTTACCTCTAAAAATATATGTTTTTTCTAGGCTTGTGCGAATATTCAAATGCTTTGAATATTAGAACGGATAGTAGTGCATTTCAAAATTTCGAAGTATTCACAATGAACGAATAGTTGTACATCAATCCGCATGCAACAGCCTGTAAAGGTAGTTTCACTGCAGTGTTGGAGCGCTAAACCATGAAAGCACTCATTCAAAGAAAATTTGCTCTGCCGCAAAGTCCCCCTTCAAATTTAAAGGGGCCCTGCAACACTTTTTCAGCATAGTCAGAAAACACTCCCGATCGTTAGTAGAGGCTACCGAGAACACGCTAAACAAATATAGCGCAGCACGCGTCCTGAAATTCACAATAAATTCTCAAAGCCAGCTGAAAATCGCTCTATTCTCTTGGCAGATCGCTCAAAAGTCGCTCATCACAGCCTTGCATCAGCCGTTGGCTGATTTGGACTTAACGCACTCGGTCATCACTGGGGTCGCCGCAACTTGTCTACACACGTGCGTGCGATCACACTGAAAAGCCGCTATTCGAAGAAAAAAACAAAACAAAAAGTTTTCAAGGTCATGAGGTGCATGTTACATATTTTCTTTCGCTGTGCCATCCCTTCCTGCTTGGCTTCCAGCGCTTTTGTCAGGATGAGAGAAGAGAGAATGCAATTGTAGCATGCCACAAATCTTTGCAGCTCTGTTTGCACTGGATAGACTCTAAAAACTTTTGTGGCAGTGAATTCCTGAGGAAATAAGCTTCTTTTATTAATCCATTTCATGGCTACTTGAAGAAGTGTTTCAGGGCCCCTTTAAATGAACATATTGCTCTCAAATCAATTCATAATTTTCTTAAGCTTAAAAGCTCGTTATGACTTCTTATATGCTTCAAGTATAGTAAATTTTAAAATGTTACACATTTTTTACAGTTAACACTCGCATCATACCGAAAGTTAAATCCTGCTACTACTCCAATTCGTTTAACTTCCTTTGAACAACAACAACAAAAAAAGGCCATTTGCATAGAGGCCTTATTTCAATAAAAAAAATATTGTGCATGCTAGTTATATCATAGTAAGTATGCCAATTTTTCTATGTATGTTATATATACTATTCAAATTCTATTCGAATTTATTCGAGCAAAATTACTATTTGCTTCGAATTCGCATCGAACCTAAAATTCACTATTCGCACAAGCCTAGTTTTTTCACTTGTAAAGAAATTGGAGTTCTTTCTTCAGTCGTTCAGACACTGTGCACTGGATGAACTTAATCTTGTGCTTTACAGCACATGCTGCAACTGTTTTGCAGTTCAGATCAGTGACCCTGCATATCTTAGACAACTGATGCAGAAAAGTTGCCGAAAATGCAACATTAGATTGCACAGTTTTTTTTTTCTTCATTATGAAAAAGAGAGTGCAAGTACAGAACAACCGTGCTTTTCTGCAGATACCCTGGAAGTTGACAGCTGAGACATATGCTAATTTCTGAATAAGCCCTCAACTATCGACGTTAACGAAAAATTGGAAAACCCT